CCTGATTTCCAGCCTTCCCTGCCTCCTCCTTCCTTATCCCCCCCCCAGTCCACACCAATATATCTTGTGGTTACTATCAGAAATAGAGAAGGACAAGCAGCAGCCAAACTCCTAGGTCCTTTGCTCCAAGATGTGTGTGTTTCCCTGGGCAGTCTGAACCAGTGACTTCTGGGGTCATTTTTATCCAGGATTCACAAGTTCAACCCTGTGGAGAAGTGAGACGCAAACAGCTCAGGGAACTTGCACTGGCCAGTCAGCACCTTCCACAGGAGAGAAATAAATCAGGTTGCAGTTGGCTGAAAACTGGAAGGGACCAAGGCGTATAGTCTATGCCAGAAAAGAGTGTGTTTGCCAATAAAGTTTACCCCACTTTCCAAAACAAACTAAGCTATATCTGCAAACGCATTTCCCCCCTATAACTGCATCTACACTAGAGCTTTTGCTGGTATAAAAATGTCATTAACCTCCCCCCCACACACACACACACTCCTAACAGAGATTACTATCCCAGCAACAGCTTTCATTACAGACCTGTCCCGAGTCTCTACCCCTGCAAGGGCAGGGTCCAGCACCCTGAGGAGAGGATGCAGTGGCTGATATCACTCTGGGTCTTTGCCAGAACACCACCATGTGGAAAACCACAGTTGTAGGGCAACTTCCAGGGTCCTGTTCAGTTGAGCCTGGGGGCTGTGGGTATTTCTGGGCAGACATCCAAGGTGACCAGCATGGCCATCTTATGCCATCACGGCTCTGATCTTAGAATTACCTGAACAAAGGAGCAGGAAAATGGATGAGCAAAGCCTCACATGGTCCCCACAGCATGTAGGATGGGTAGAAAATGAGCCTCAACTTTGTGCCAAACTGGAAAATGTTTTTTACAGAAGAGTGACAGTGAAGGGTCTGGAAACGGTAAGTCAGCAGCGAAGAGCCAAAGAGAGCTATGTCTGTCTGACCTGGCCACCGGATGACTGGCAGTGGAATGCAATTGCTGCCCACAAGGCTGTGATTCTTGGATAGGTCCAAGAGCAAAAGCAAAGGAGGGGAGGATTCATCCAGAAGACTCATTCCATGGAAGAATCATTTCTCTAAGGGACTAGGTGTCCATTACTCAAGACATTCACAGCTGAAATGGACAGACACCAGGAGAATGGAGAGCTGGGATCCAGTCTGCCTTGCTCACTAGGGATGGGCCCAACCAGTCTTCCCCACCTGTAGAGTTCATTTCTAGATCCCCACAAGGATAGACAGACAGAGAGCAAACAAGCAGACAGCAGCACAGGGATGGGTAAAGTCTCACTCACCAGAGCAGATGAGCCCGATGCCACCAGCTAAGGCAGCAAAAGGAAACATGTCATGGTGTTGGCCATAAGTATTGGCCATAAGTAAGAGACCAGGCACAAGAAACGCTGATGAGACTAGCAGTGACTTGGACTTTGCAACTGTTGTACCTGACAGGGGAAGATGCATCAGACCTGGGGTGGGTGGGGGTGGGTTAAACCCAGACAAAATAACTGCAGAAAAATTCCTTGGCCTCCAGGCTGCATGGGCCAGGAATGCAGCTGAGGTACCTTGGTCAGGTAAAGGAGAGCCTTCTGTCTAGGTAAGAAGCAGCTGTGATAAAAGGGGAATACCCCCTCAGGCCTCTTCACTCAGGAAAGAGAGCTGCAAGGGTGAGAACCCAGGGGATGCTGGCAGGAAGGTGGACTCCAGGGGGGGAAGAGAAGGCAAAGATCCCTTCCCAGAATACCAAACTTTGAGAAGCTTGTGCAAACTGGGTTGAATTGTCCGCAAAAGAGACAGACAGAGCTGATCAAGTCTTAGAGGTCCCAAACAAGTACAAGTCCAGTGCTTGGCCTGAGGCCCAGTCAAGAATTACTCCAGATTTACACTAGTGGAACCAAAGCAGAGTTTAGTCCCAATGCATTCTAGGCAGTCAGCAGCTACACTGAGACAGCATTGCCTAGTGATTAGAGCACAGGACTGTGAGCCACTAACTCCCATAGGTGCTGGTACTAGGCGTGCTGCTGCATCATATACAGGGTTTACATTTTGGTTCAATGGCTCTCAACACCTCTACTATACAAATTGTTCCAGCACCCCCGGTAATGCCTGAGTTGTAATCTCAGCTCTGACACTGCCTTGTGTGATCTTGGGTAAGTCACTTAAAATACTAGCCTCACTTTACTCCCCATCTGTAAAATGGGGCAATAGGACCCATCTTACAGGAGATGAGTTAATAGGTAGAAGGCTTTAAAGTAATATTTTGTGCAATGTGCATGGGGTCAGACTAGATGATCATGATGGTCCCTTCTGGGCTTAAAGTCTACAAGTATATATTATTAGCCTCCAGCAACAGGGTTTAAAAAAAAAAAATCTTGGTTTTAAGCTTGTATTCTTTTAAGTATATTTTTGATATTCTTCCTATAAACCCTCACCCAGAAAAAGATTAAGTTCTGGTTTTGGATTTAGAGAGAACTGAAACATGATTAAGGCACAAAAACTGTGAAAAACAAGATCGATTTCTCCTCAGTTCACTATGCAATATAGCTAGAGAGGGAGGAGAGGGCATCGCAGGATATTTATGTCCAGCAGAAATGGTAGATTAGATGTAAAAAAAAATATATCTATAGTATTAAGGGTTTGGATGCTCAGTTTTGACACAGACTCACTATGTGACCTTGGGCAAATCACTTCTCCTCTCTGTGCCTCAGTTTCCTTCTCCCTCACTGTGTAAAAGTAGGGAGAACAATGCACACCCTCCTTTGCAAAGAACTTTGCAATTGATGGCATGTCATTATTTCCTGCTTGGCATGAAGCAGCATTTGGAAAGGGTGGCGAGAAATCAGGGCTGTGTTCACAGGAGACTAGAGTCCACAGGTCAAGAGTAAGCAGCTAAAACCCTCGTATTCCATTCCATTCCAGCAACGCAGTCCTAAGCGTGCAGTTGTTTGTGCCTTCAGTGTTGGCAATGCTCTGCCTTACATGCCCAGGACGCAGGTGTATGACACCACAGCGGAACACCATGTCATGTAGCACTGCCCCAAGGCATACAGAAGCTGCATACTACACCACAACAGCATGCCCTGTCATGTAGCATTACTTACATGTACAGAAATGCAGCCCTCTCAGGTTTCTACCCCAGCAAGTGGCTGCTAGCACAAAGCAGCGCTGGGGCAACTTCACCACTTCCTCAACACAAAACAGTGAAGGGCACATTAATGTGGATTTGGATGGGGGAGGGAAGGTTAATGCAGAAGAAAAAAGGAGCTTTGCTCTTTGCAAACTGACCAGGCATCCTTCCTTCCCAAGTGAGAACGGTGAGCAGCCCCTGGTATGATATTCCAGGGAATGGGGAGAGCTTTTCCCTGTTGTCTATTTCACTGTTAAGAGACTGGCCAAAATTGGAACCATTTATCCAGACTCTACCTGAACTTCAATAGTTCCAGATAAAATGGACCCCAGTTCCAAGCCATCCCAGGGTTTGGACCCAACTGGTGATGACTTGTGAAACCCAGATCTGTCCCAGACAGAGCAGGCCAGGCCTGGAGCATATGGGGAAAGCTGGGTGCACGGCAGGTAAGCCTGTCACACCTGTAGCAGAGCCATCAATGAGAGTACTCTGACCCCGCTCTTGGAACTGCTGCCAATGACAGTGCCCTCACAAAGGGGAAGCACTGCAGCCTAAGAGAATGAGTCTCCAAACATAAAAACTAAGCACCAAGGGCCAAAGAGAATGGAGATGAGGCTCATCATGCGCCCAGAGAGAGGGAGGCGCAGATAGGGCCTCTGTCCCATACATCCCCAAGTCAAAAAACTCTCTATGCAGTGAGGAGTGAACAGAAATATTTAGAGGGCTGGATCCCCTGCATCATTGCTCCAGAGCTGTAGGCAAGTGCCCTCTGCACATTGCAAACTGAGCAGAAGGGACAGAAATGAGATACTGGGAAAACCACCCAATACATCCAGGCTCTTCTGAGGCCAGTGCCCTTTCCACAAGAAGTTCTTGTCACCTCTGTCTAGGAACCTCTCAATGCTGCCACCTCCACCCCCTAAAAACAAAACAGCTCCATGGGAGTTGTAGTACAATGTCTGATTACGCCTCTGTAAAGCCAGCTGCAGGCGCTAATCTATTACTTTGCCATGCTGCATTTGCTGACTGGCCTGTGTTCAGTCTCTATGCACAGCAGTCTGCAGCCCACCATGATTTCTGAGCACATGAAAAAAAATAAGAGAAAAGCAAAGACTTCTGTTTGAGTAGCCAGACAAACAAGAGAAAGGAAAAGACTACAGCGACCAGAAGCCTTTGGGGCCACGCAGCCAACCTTCAGTTGCCAAAGGGCCTGCCTGCTCTCTTCACACTGGCTGTACTTTGATTCAATTCAGTGACTTCTACCCAGTCACTGGATGCCTGTGCTGTCCATCACCCCCTGCCTATTGCCAGCTAGGCTGACTGAAAATGACAGCCATAATCAAAGATCTGGGCTTTGAGGTGATGTTCAAAAGAAACTGTCAATTTCTCACAAAAATAACACACAGACATAGAATTGTACTCCAAGTCAGCAGCCCAAGATGAGCTCCCAGAGCAGCCCTGCATACCAACAGGCAGCAAGGGAGGGCACTTCCTCACAAACAAGAACAAAAAAGCAAGACGACCTTTAATTTTAAATTCAAAACAATTAAACATTTGCAACTACAGGTCTTCATTTGTTACCAGGAAATCTAAGCACAAGGCACACCACATTCCTCACAAATCTAAGAGGAAGGAAAAAGTGGAGTTCCCCACAAGGACCCTTGCAGTCTCCAGGGGAAAATAAAGATTAGGACTCTGACCCATCTTTTAAGAAAAACACTTAGGAAGTCTGCAGCATGCTGGAAAAAATACTCCCTCTGCCCAGCCCCAGACTTATCATTACACCATACAAAATGGACCTGCCTGTAGGACAGTCCTCTCATTTCAAAACACTCAGGCATTGAAAGAAAGTGGTTAGGAGACTACTTACCTTTCTCTTGCTCCGGGTCTCAAGAAAGGCCAGAGGTATTTCCCATAGTGATCCTGTGCTTTTTTCCTTTGGGCTTTTCAGCAGCTGTCTGCTCCGTGAAGCTTGTTAGAGGGGAGCTGAGGATCTGGAAGCTGCTGGGGGACAGCCATGCAGTCAGGGCTCATGGTCTTCTTCACCAACAGCCTTCCAGCCAGCTGCAGGGGGCTCTGGGGAGTGGATCATGCTCTTTCCACACGCACTGGAGTCTCACCTACATGCACAGCACACACACACACACATTTCAAACACTCTGCCTCTCGCACACACTTTCACTCCTTTAGTTGTTTCACTTTCACTTGAGGAGAATTCAGACTCAGTTTCTGGTGGGGGAGGTTGTTGGTTGGCTGATTTTTAGCAGCAACTTCCCTCTTGCTCCCCTGAAGTTACAGGAACCTTCTCCACAATTTTCTTTTTCCCCACTCTTGATCCTTATTATTGTTTAACTGTCTGTTAGATCCCTCCTGCAAATAATCTCTGTGTTTTTGAGAGGATGCTGTTATAAAGTGGGCAAAGCTCTGTGTATGGAGTGCTCCTTTCTCTCCCTCTTTCTCTTCCTGAGTCTGAATAATCATTTGGAGAAACAGGATCATTCACTTTGCCTTCATACAAGAAGCCAAGCAATGTCCTGTCAAAATAAAAGCCCCAGTTTGCCTCTTCCACTGATTAACTGCTTCCTAATCTAGGTCTCCTCCTCTGGCCTCCCAGTGGCCTGACTGAGAGGAACACCTTGCAAAAAGAGATGATGGGAAACAATTAACCCCCATTGCTAAATGTCTCACCTGCACTTATGGCCCAGGGAAATAATGGCAGGAGAGGCAAAGTTTTTGAAGGACATTGAGGAGGAGCATTAAAAATAAATACATTATTTAAAAAAAAAAAAAATCAAGGAAACTCCAAAACAGCAAATCTTATAATGTTATACACTCAGGACTGGTGCTCTTGTTTGCTCCTAGTAGTGAAAGATGAGGAATGAGTTTTTTTTCCAGACATAACGAAAGTTGCCCAAGCTAATGGCAGAGGACAGACAGCCCCCATGTAAGCAAGCTTAGCAAATTGGCTAAATGTCTGCACCTGAGTCTCTGGCTTGGTTGGCACAGTAATTAAAAACAGCCCCCAGAGAGCCCTAGCCCCTACCAGCTCCTCCACTTGCTTGGGAATTAATTAAACTCTGACAATTAAGAGGGAGGTTCCTTGTTGCTGTTGTGGGTCTGACTCACTCATTGATCTACTAATGATCAGATCATATGAAAACTCTCCTCAGGATTTTAGTAAAGGGCAGGATCCCTACTTTGATTAAGAGACCAATCCTGCCACTGACTTTAGTGGAGACTGGGGGTACTCAGCACTTCTCAGGATCAGGCCCTAAATCCTTTATTTGCTTTTTGAACTGTTGGGTGTGAAAGCTTAAGTCTTTCCTTTTCTGAGTGTTTTATTACAGTGGCAAAAACAACAAGGCGTCTGGTGGCACCTTAAAGACTAACAGATTTATTTGGGCATAAGCTTTCGTGGATCTGAAGAAGTGAGGTTTTTACCCACGAAAGCTTATGCCCAAATATATCTGTTAGTCTTTAAGGTGCCACCAGACGCCTTGTTGTTTTTGTAGATACAGACTAACACGGCTACCCCCTGATATTTATTACAGTGGGGTCACCAAAATCCCTATTCAGGTCCATCTCCTCACCAATGCAGAATTGTTCCCTCCTGGTATGACTTCTAGCAGGTTGTGGCCTATTCCAGTTTAAAGCAATGATTAGTCCTTTACACATGCACAGTCCTTTCCACATGGCTCATGGATGTCACCAAATGCCAGCACTTTTCTCAACAAGGAAGAAATGTACTTGACTTTGATTTTTCAACAAAGAAAGGTTCTTAAAGTACTGTACCTACTGGGTCATCCAGTGCTCTGGATCTATGATGCTTTTGGCCTGAGACATTCTGCTGCTGCATGGAAAGGTAGTGTTGCTTCACTAGGGGGGCTGTAACTACGCAAACAAGAGTTACATTTCCATGCAGAAGCAGCAAAACAGAAATGTTCAGCCTAAAGCCACTCATTTTAGAATGAGGAAAATGCCAAGAACAAAAGTAAAGTTTCCAGGAGAGAGTGCGGCATGTGTTATCTCCACAACAGGTGCAGCACCTCAGAAGAGAATGGCAGCTGTCTTTGCATTCTGGGAGAGGTAGCAGAAATGTAAAGGTACAGTACACACAAAACAAAGACCTCACAGTTGCAAGCTCCATACACCCAGTCATGCTATGCTAATGCTCATGAGCTAGGCTTTGCCAGACACCCAAGCAGACTCAGGGTGAGCTGAGTGCTGTACAGTTAATAAGAGGGCTGGGTCATCTGTCCGACCCACCAGCTCCAAAATAGGAATTTAGTAAACTCGGGGAGGGGTGGGGGGGAGTGGCAAATTACTGGCTATTAGAACTAATGGGATTATTGAGTACTTTACCTAAAACTAGCAGGTATGTCAGAAGCTGCTGTTGTGAGCACCCACATCTCCACAGGTCCTTCTCCCTTCAGTATGCAGGAAGATCACAGAACAACCTGAGAACAGCCATCCTGGGTCAGACCTATGGTCCATCTAGCCCAGTATCCTGTCTTCCAACAGCGGCCAATGCCAGATGTTTCAGAGGGAATAAACAGAACAGGGTAATTATCGAGTGATCCATCCCCTGTTGTCCAGTCCCAGCTTCTGGCAGTCAACCCTAGTTGTCACCTGCTGCTCAGTTTAAAATCATGCATGATCGCATTGGGAGTTCACACCCTGTAAGGGAATGGCAGAGCCTAAACGCTCACCATGGTCACGCACCCTTGCAAGTGGCTTTTCAGGCATGTGCCTATGCAAAAAGTATATGTGACTATAGTTACTCAGGAGTCTGTTTACATACATGCTGTGGTCCATGTTTAGTCAACACCAGTATCACTAAAGGTTAGTCTCTATTTTGCATGTACATGTTTGTGAATGTACACACGTGTGGGAGTGAAGTGTACCTGCGTGCACTCCAGACTATCCCCTTGTCACAGCTTCTGTCCTTTAGTCACTAAGCATCTCTGCACCACCAGGCCCTGGCTCCAACACCATTTAATTCAGCTTAACAAATCCCAAACCGATGCCCTGCTAAGTGGCAAGAAGAGGCTTCTCAGACCAAACTCCAGCCCCCTCTGCTCCATCCTCACCCCAAACTGTCCAGGCTTCATCTCTGAATGAAACTCCACTAAACCGCATATTCAATCCAAATCCCTCACCACTTGCATCTCTCTCCAGAACCCCAGTCTGCAGGTCCTCATTCCCATGAGGAACCCAGGCATTCCACTCTCTCCTTCTTCCTTCCCCGGGCCCACAACTTCTGCCGAGATTGGTCATTGAGTCTTCACCTCTTCTCAGCTGGACAACTCCCAACCACCAATCTGACTGCCTTGAGCCCCTACTCTTCATGCATGGAGCAGCATCTCCCCTCTCTTGTACCTAGAACTGGGGCCCACAACAATCCTCTTCCATTGAAATCACCTTGGCTTCCTGTCCCTTCCAGAAACCATTATAAAATCCCCCTCCTCATTGGCAGGTCCCTCCATGGGTTTGACCCCCTCTTCCACTCATCTAATAAGGTCTAGGGGAGTGACAGGGTGGGTGAGCTGGACCAACTTCTGTTGATGAGAGAGACAAGCTTTCAAGGCACACAGAAGTTGGCCCAATAAAAGATACTACCTCACCCACCATGCCTCTCTAATATCCTGGGACCAACATGGCTACAACTAAACTGTATACAGGTTCTAGTGGAGGTATTTTAGAGTCCCTCTCACCCCAAGATCTAAATAGTACTTCCTTGCCCATTTTCCTGATAAGTTCAGCAATAACCCTGCAGGGCTGTCAAGTTGGGACAGTTTGAACAAGGAAGAGTTAAAAAAAAGTATAAGCAGGATTTTCAAACATCTAATTGAAACTTGCAGCACCCCAGCACAAAAGGAGTCTCTCTGCAGGTTTGAACCTGGGAGAGGAGACGGTCAGGCTAGGAGCTAAAGGAGCAGAGGAATGGAGGGGGCAAAGAGGCTTAGATACAGTTTGGCATATGCTCAGATGGAAATAACATCTATTTCAAATGCACAATTTGCTTTGGCTGGGTGGCAGGAATAGAGACTTCCAAGTAGCGGATGGCATGCACCTCAGGAAATGTATTCCAAGTGGGAGCCTGCTGTTGGTAAAGGCATGACAGATACAGCTGAGAAAGGACACAGCTGGCTGCCTGGGCTCTTTGCATGCCCCCGCTCTGCCTCCTGCAACAGAAGGGAGCTGTACAACACACACACATTAGACTATGAAACCAGCCCACCTACTTTCAGCTGATGCCAGCAGCATCCTAACCAGGATGTGTCACCCTCCTGTCTGCAGCACACTAACTGTTCAGGGGTGGGTTGGGGAGAGTGGAGACGGCTGGAGGCAGGGACCACTTGGCAGCCTCTTAAAGAATTGCAAAGCTAAAGGGGATCCAGGGACAAACAATCAATCTCAGCTGATGGGAAGCAGCAGCCCTAATTGGAAATGAAAATACACCTTTCCCTCCTGCTCCATGTGCATACACGAGTGGCCACAGCCAGAGAGAGACAGACACCCTATATTATTAACCCTCCCGTGGCCAGCAGGGAGGAATGTCACAGCAAGAAAGCAAATGTAGCCTCTGGCAAGCCAAGATCCAGGAGTCAGGTCTAGCCTTGCAGCTGTCGTGTCAAGGTCTATGATCTTTCAGATCTCACAAGCTAAGCAGGTATGGTCTAGGTAAAAAAATATTGGATAGACCTCAAAGGAATACCCAAGAGCTGCAGGGAGCAGTGCTGGTATCTTAGGTAGATACTGTTCTTTGCTTTCAGTCATATGGAACCAATGTGAAAGCATGGCACTGGGGGCACTGTACTGCAGGGAGCAGTGTGGATAGCTTACTTGGGGTCACTCCCCACAAAGTAATTGCTGCGCTACAGGGAAGTATGTGAGTAACGCAGCAAGGGCATGCTCTTCTACCAAGTTAGCACTCACCCCAGTGTCCCAGCCTGACGCTACAGGGTACCATGTTGCAGGAGGTGCCATCTTTTGTTGAAGACATAAAAGTGCAGCATGCAGCAGCCTTATCCATAGGATTCCTCAGCAACCCTCCCTCATCCTCCACCTGAGAGCAGGCAAGGTGGGCAGCTTTAGAAGGGGAGACAGCACTCCCTCTGAGATCCCCAGTAGGAAGTAGCAATGAATGGTGGCCCAAGCACACTCTAAAGTCTCAGAAACCAGAAAGCAAATAAAATTACCCTCAACTTTTTGTTTTTCAGATCTTAAATCTTGTGTTTTTTGTTTTTTGGCTGCGTGACATGATTTTTGGAGGCTTGGGGCTGCCCGTACTAAGGACAGTAAGTGGCATGATTGTTTTCTGACCTGGCAGGGGTTGGGAGGCTCGGGGATTTCATGTGTGCAAAGCACTCTGAGCTACAGGCTCTCTCTGTCCCCCAGCCTGTACTGGGACAGAACTGGGACTCTGCTGACTGACTCACAGGAACTGCAGCTGAGGGTT